TTCCCCTGAGAAGATGGCTGTGGGTATCTATGGGAAAGGACTAGTGAGGCTACTATTTACTGTGACCCCGTTTTTGGGAGGACTGGCCTCTCCTTTAGTTGATACATTCTAGGTCCAATAATCAACTCACATCTGGAAACTGGATAAAGGATTATGAATTTCCATTGGAGCAACTTATCTTTTTGCTCATTTAATCTTAAGCTCATCTAAAGCCTCAACTAGGAAGCAGCTACACCCAGGCTCACTATGTGGTTGTTGACAGGATTCAGCTCCCAAGGACAATTAGAGGGAGCCTCAGTTCCTTGTGGGCTGTTGGATGGGGGCTGTCTTCGAGTTGTTACCACATGGATCATGGTCTCTTACAGCAGCTGGCTTCATTAAACCCAATGAGAGTGAGCGTGAGAGCAAACCAGAGCTGGCCAACAAGAAGAAAGTAACAATCTTTTGTAAGATAACTTAATCATTCAATGTACCATATGATGTTGGTTAGAAGTAAGTTACTCAAAGGGTTGGAATTACTTAAGACCGTGAGCTCCAGGAAGCGGAAATAGTGGGGCTAACTTAGAGGCTGCTGCCCCAGCTCTTACACAATGTTGAGCAAGATAATCAAAACACAAAATACACATACTATGATTCCATTTAGATTACATTTTAAAATGTGGGAAAATAAACTGTATTATTATGGATGCATATCTAGGTTGAAAAACTATAAAAAAACAGTAGAAAGATTTAAAGTCAGAATAGTGATTACCTCTAGAATGGAGGGAGGGAGATACAGTCAAGAAAAGACATATAGGAGCACCTCTTATGGATGACAAGATTCTATTTCTTGACGAAGGCTTTGGGTACATACATGCTTGCTTAATAATTATTTGTTATATCAATAATTAATTAATGTATATATGTTATACATTTTTAGTATATGTGTTTTTCACTTAAAAAGTTTTTTAAAATCCAAGGTGAACTGAAATACTCATCGTATTTAAATTTTAAAAGTCAAGATAAAGCAGTGATTGAAGACAGTTTAGAACAAAGAGATTTCCCGAATGGCATATGGGTATTCATATTATTTTAAATATTGCTCTAATTACACATACCACTTCATACCAAGAATGGTAACATTGTTTAATGCTTATTCTTAAATATTTTAATACAATTTCATTTTTATTATAAATAGGAACTTAATTGAATGGGAAATATGGTAATTTATCTATCAATTAGACATGCCTTTTGCAGGCCTCTCTATGTATTTCACAGTCTTATAACTAAGTCACAGTAACTCACCTAATGAAATTACATTTTATCTCCAAAGTGCATACTAGGTTTTCATTCCAAAAATGTCAGAGCACTAACATAACAGATGCGATACCTGACAAGAGAAGCCCATTTCCCATGTCATTCTTTAAAGGGTATGTTAATACGATGTGTCCAGGTTGCGGGGTAAACACAACACATGTTCTTCAGTGTTGATTGCAAATATCAGTTGAGTTCACTTCATTCTAATTTCCTTGATGTTTACCTAAGTGACGTCTTTTATCATGAACTTCTAAAAAGACAACAATAAAATTAGTTTAAAATTTAAAAATGAATATGAAAGAAAACCTTATACTCCTTCTACTACTCCATATAATAAAAGAAGAACAGTTTAGATAGACTTGGCATAACTTGTGTGTGTGGTCCTCAAGTTAATATCAAGTATGCTTCATCAGACGGTGAATAGAATTTAGCAGCAAATACATGAAATGACAGACATCTCGCCTGCTTTTGAGGCTCATTTTGTAAAAATCCAGTGTGCTGTCTATAGGAATTTCCCATGGTGGTTCATGCCCTATTGCTCCATTATCATCCATGTGGGAATGTCGGTTTTGGTATTAGAGTCATCTAAAAGAGCAAAGATAATTATCAGTGTTTTAGTTTACAATACTCCAAATTCAGTGTTTAAAATCCAGTATCATTTTCTCTACTATATAGATACTACCAATTGTATTTTAATTATTTTAGTTGCTTCTGTTCCCAATTGAACATAATACAATGTATGTCATACAGACAGTTTAAGCAGATGGGTCTCAAGCTTGGCTGCCCTTTACCTGAGAAACTTGAAAAATTCTGGTGCCCAGGCCATAACCCACAGCAGTTAGTCAGAATGTTTCTGAGCAAGAGTCAGGCATCAGTAGTTTTTAACACTCCCTGAGTGACTCTAATATTCAACCAACTTGTAGAACCCGTGGATGAGGGGTTGTGATTCTCCATACATTTCCCTACATTCAGAATGTGCCTGCCTTTGTAGCTGTGGTGATAGGGGTTTCCATAAATTTATATAGAAACCTCTCCCCTCATAGTCAAAACCTTTTTCCTTTATTTTTTTAAATTTTTCCTCAGCCCCTGATATACAGCAAATCAAATAAACACCTCCCTCTTCAGGACTCCATGTAGTTTCACAATACAATTGTTTCAATCTTTCACCTTCTCCAGCTTTGCAAACACAGCACAAAGTAAAGACTCGTAAATCAAGTGTTTGCTAAACAAGTAAATGTGATAGAAATATTGCAAGGTGCTTGGTCTTTAATGATCTTAACTAAGACATTTAAGGACGCCATCATAGAGTGAACAACTTGTCTCTTACTTCTTGGGACTTCCTAGTTTTAGCAATGAGAGCCCTGAGTTCAGGGAATGCCCTCAGACTGGGCAATGAGAAACAGTTGGTGACCCTACCATGACATTGGCTGGTACAGTTAAAATGAAGCCCTGCCCATCATTAGTATAGCTCTGAATGAACTAGTGATGCATGCATCAACATTGTGACTCTCACAGCCACATACCAAGGCAAAGATGACAGACAGAAAAAAACAATTATGCTGAATATTATTTGTTTGAATTTTCAAATCAAAACTAACCTATGGTGGAAAAATTATTAGAACATGGCTAATAATTTCCCCATATGGCTGCCTCTATGAAGTGATGAGTTTACTGAAGTGACATTTGGGAAGTTTCTAGTATAATGAAGATGTTCTCAGTACTCATCCATTTTCATACTGCATGAAGAAATACCAGAGACTGGGTAATTTATAAAGAAAAAGAGGTTTAACTCTGAGTCTCTGAAAAAGACTCACAGTTCCACATGGCAGGGGAGGCCTCACAATCATGGCAGAAGGTGAAGGAGGAGCAAAGGCACCTCTTACATGGCAGAGGCAAAAGAGCATGTACAGGGGAACTGGTCTTTATAAAACCGCCAGATCTCATGAGGCTTATTCACTACTATGAGAAGAGCATGGGAAAAATCAGCCCCCTTGATTTCAATCACCTCCCACCGGTTCCCTCCCATGATACCACAGCACCACACAAGGGGAGTACGGGAGCTATAATTCAAGATGAGATTTGGGTGGGGACAGAGCCAAACAATATCATTCTCTATCTTGATAGGTGTAGGGGTTACATGGATGTACCCGTTTATCAAAACTCATCAAACAGTACATTTGGGATTTGTTCATTTCAGTGTATGTAAATTTTATGATATCATAAAAATAAATACAAACTAAATTAAAATATTTATTTATTAATTAATCCAGCAAATTGTCATGTTTGCTAATTTGTTCTAAGTATGATTCTTTTAATTAAACTATGATGAGCTCCTTTGAGGTTACTTTATCACAGTATAATACTGTGCGTGTGTGTGTGTGTGTTTGTGTGTGTGTGTGTTTGTGTGTTCCTTCTAGTAAACTGTGAGCTCCCCTGAAGGAGAATCTACATCATATTTGTAATCCCAATGGCTGGCAACTTGTGTCTCTCAGATTATCCATTTAACACCTCTGTTTTATAAACAAGGCAGGACCTTGAGCCACGTGCTTCTGTAAAGCTTGAATGAACAGAATGAAGCAGGAGGTGTCTGTGTGTGGCCATCGAACCTTCAGCATTTACATCATCTGGGCACTTGTTACAACTAAGTCTCTCCCCAGCAGTCAGAAACTCTGAGAGTAGGCCTCGCAATCTGTGTTTTGACAAGCCATCCAGATGATTCTAAGGCATGCCTGAGTTTGCCCACTACTAACTAGGGGATAAGGCAAAATCTTAATTCAGTAAGCTGGAATCTGCTGAAGTCTTCTGACATTTCAGATTGATTGAAAAAATGAATCTGGTAATTTCCCAGCACTGGAACTCAGTTCTGATGAGATGCAAGTTCTGAACATTCAACATTTTTGCTGTACTGAAAAATATTCAAAATTAAAAATGAGATGAGGAATAAAAATGAGGCTATGTCTTCTAGAATCCAAGAGACCAGCTGGAGAGACGTGACACAAACCTGTAAGACAGCAAAGTGGGAACTTAAGAAACTAGGACCTTTTAGTAACACCAGCTATCTAGATGAGTAGCCTACCGGAATTTAAGGATGTGGGACAGGACCCAAAGTTTGAAACATCCGGGGAAACCATTCCAGTGGTGTAGAGGTGATCAAGGTCACATAAAGGAAGAGCTATCTCTTTCCTTATTGCTCAAAAATGACACACAAAATAGGACGTTTTCTTCTCATCCCAGGCCAGATGCCACACTGAGCAGAAGGGCTTTCCTCTCCCTTGGTCGTTGGAAGAAACGTGTAATTGGTAGTGTAACTGACTAAATCTCATTCTGGTGGGGGTACAGGAAAAGAGAGTGAGAAATGTAATTCCAAATGCAAAGCATCACTTGATAGCCCTGTGTGGAGGAAGAGGAAGATAATTTTGGTCTAGAAGATGCCATTGAGGTGAGAATCGAGGAAAAGTAGATGGTATAGATCTTATTACATCTGGACAAGAGTATTTTCTTCCCAGTGATTTTAAACCATTAAATGGACAAACATTAATGTGTAATCTGATAAGTATTTAACAACTAAATAAACAAAAACAAGAAAAATATAGTGACAACAGGAAACTGGGGCAGTATATAAGAGGCTGTGGCTCAAGGAGACTTCTAAACTCCAGAACCTCATTCTCCTGGAAACCTACCCAGAAACTCCGCCCTCTGACACCATGAACAACTCCTGCTGTGGCTCTGTCTGCTCTGACCAGAGCTGTGGTCAAGATCTCTGCCAGGAGAGCTGCTGCTGCCCCAGCTGCTGCCAGACCACCTGCTGCAGGACCACCTGCTGCCGCCCCAGCTGCTGTGTGTCCAGCTGCTGCAGGCCCCAGTGCTGCCAGTCTGTGTGCTGCCAGCC